CGATTTGCATGCAGCAGACCACCACTTAAATATACGATTTCTAAATTTAGCAACAAGTAACTCAACTTTGGAAAAAGAATGAATTGTAAGCTCATGACAAAAAACGCGAGCAAGCAAGCAGGCCACAAACGCCAAGCTTATGCGATATTTTACTCGTCAAGGCTTTAGACTTAAGTCCTGGTCACCTCTTTGCTACTTTTTATTTCCTTCTGTGCGCCTCATTTCCTATGTGACTGTCCAATGCCCCTCGATCTCAACCCATGGAGGAATTCATCAGACGAGGTATTTAGTTGATAAGTGAGGATGTAGAGTAAAATTTTTCTTCACGCAAATGGAGCCTCAACCTTACCTGCTTTTTGATACTATGAGGGATCACCCTTGTACAATCACCAATTGCAGCGGAACTCTCCAACAAGTAAATCTCAACAGCAATTGTTGTGGCTTGAGGAGTGGTTTTAGGATAAAATATCTTGATATATTTACCAAATTAACGGTAAAAATATGAACCCATTTGGAACAACGGATGTAGCAGATACTTAGCTAGAAGCTTTCTGGTTGATAATAGACGCCACCTGCTAGAGCAATTTCTTCCTTTAAGTAGATGCTAACATGACGTTTCATGGTTCTTGCTCTCCTGTTATATCAATCATCATCGAATGAATGATCCTTCCTGACGTCGTGCACCAACAGACCAAATAGTCGTACCGAGAGGCTTAGATATCAATACAAAGTCGCCCCTTCAGAATATGGGTTTCCTTCAAGCCTCGAAGAGGTGCATTGGAACCTAAACAAACACTCCTGTCACCTGATACAAATCACGGATGATAGTTAAATTACTTCAGACCCAAATATCCGAAGAAACTCACCCCATCACCGCCGCTGCCATATAAACTCGACTTGTCTACACAGATTCAAGTTTTCTGTTCCTCTCTGGTCAACTACTGCGCCATTGGAAACACAAAATTCGGTTCCATGTTCTTATTACCATGAGTTAAGAAGTAATTTGTCGCTTAAAGGAGTATGACCACGCAAGTGAATGCACGTCTAATTTGTGTTAAACCACTTAATGTTTTTTACAAAATTTTAATGAAGTCCAATATCATGACAAACGCAAGATTTCCAATCGTAGGAAAAAAAAAATACATTGGTGCATATACGGCAGATGCGTTAAACGTGACAACCTTCCATCGCCCTCACTACTCACTGTTGCGTTTACGCTCGAGAACCCACTTATTCCAAGGTAAATCAAATAGCTATTCACGAAGATATTGCACCGAAGCAGGCTAAGTATAATATTAATTTGCGGAAATGGTTCCAGACCTTTAAATACTTAGCTTTGCGGAAAAAAAGTAAGCCTTAATTGTCACTGGGCAAACTTTATCGAACAGTACCCATAGTTATAAATCAGGCAGAGAATTTGACCGGAGACAGTTTCGTGCACACAAATCCGTTAAGAGATTTCACCTTAAAATTTCCTTTTAGGGGTGCTGGGGGAGCACAGAAAAAAATAGATGGTAAAACAATGCTTTATTGTTAGTTTTTGTCTTTGATTTATCGATCCGCGCATTTGAGGCCTCGATATTGTATGCGCACGGGATGGCATAGTCTCCAGGCCAAGCTAGCAGCCTTTCAGCTCCTTTTATATCAGCAATACGTCTTCTTAATATGAAAAGACAATACTAATGCAGAGAATTATTAATGACGGGAAGAAAGAAGGAGATACCAAGATGGTTCACAGGTGATCTCTTCAAAGGAATCTTAATTGTAAAGCCCTAAGTCTCCTCGTAGCCTAAACAAAGTTAGAGGATCAGAGAAGTAAAGCAATCCTTAATCGATTCGCCTATTTCATTTAAATAAAAAATGCAAAAGGGATTGTAAGAAAATCATCGGGACTAATGCATGTCTAAGCTCGATAACTGCGATATCACGAAAACAGCCTTTCTTCCCGAATGTGTGCAGTCTCGCCCGAATTAGAAAATGGAATACCATATGTTAGGAAAAAAAGGAGCAATAAATTTCCAGAAGTAGATCCTAGAAGCAATTTGTCAGGAAAAGGTAAATATGTTGATGGGATAAACAATATGAAGGGGATACAACCAATGAGAATAAAGGCAAGTTTATTGTCGGACAATTTTCATGACTCCCTATTAACGCTTTTTTATTTAAGGGTCAATATTTAAATGAAACACTAAAAAGCAAGTGAACTGAAATAATTTCGAATAGCAAAATAGCAAACGAAATATGAATTCCGGATTCGATGTTTCAGCACCAAAAAACATCCATTACAGCAATCCCTTACTCTTACACTCTAAGTGGGAATAATGACACCAAGGGAAAGAACCAATTTAACCCAATATATGAGTTTGTGATTTACTACCCTGTTTGATCCCAAGGGCGCCTTAGTTTTAGCCCATCAAATATGGGCTTCATATAACATGCACGTCGCCATTTTGCCGCCATTCCAACTCTTCTTTAGGTTAGTAGGCATATGGTCTACTACTCTAATCTTTTTCAACTTCAGAAAAGGCAAGAGACGCAACTAATGAGTTGTACCAACACATAAGATAAATCTGTGTGAACTAGAGAAAGCTTATCCCATCCTACTAACATATTCTTCTAAGTATATCAAAGTGAAAATACGATACACTAAGGAAATAGAAGGAATATGCAAGCAAGACCCAAAAATTGCCGCTCGGATCCTCAAAGTAATACGTTTTTCGCGTGAGATTTGAGAATAAACAATCGATGTAATGCCTAACAGCTTAGATTTTCAGCCTCCATACAAGGCACACTAATTAGGATGAGTACGTGGGAACGGACCATTTTTATCCAGTTTTGGAGGCTTCTAAGAATCTCCGAAAGAGAATTCAAATACGGCCAAAGATAATAGGATGGTGCTGTCTCTAATACGTGACGTTACCTATACCCTAGGTCTATAACAGATACAAACTAGATGAAAGAAAGAGTAGGAGTCTAGTGACAAAGTTCGTCTTAGCCAATGAAAATAAGTAAATAATTTTAGCACCCAAGTTGTGCATAAGTCTGAAATGTCACCATCTGCAGCGTACTAATGTTGACATGTCAAAATAAAATCAGAAAGCAAATGAATTTGGGAAATGGAGTGCAGATCTTAAAGTTACTGTTTACATGCGATGAATGACACAAATGGTGTTTTCAGCAGAGATTTTTGGCACAATAACGATCTCCTTACTAATAAATTAACAATTTCAGCAAAAAAAATTCATTGTGAAATTCATCCTTCGAAAGCCAAATCCTTATAAAAATCAGACCTGGGGAATGATAAACTACACTCTGTAAAGGATGACATCCACTTAAGAGAAACGTTTAGCAGCTGTTACGGAATCCTCAGCACTGATTGCAGATCTAACTTGAAAGTGGGGGAAAAGTTGGCGATAACATAAAATTCCAAGGTCGAAATCCAAAAGAGCTTTGAACCTCGGCCTTTGGATGGAACTTGCATAGGGCGACAAGTTGTCTAGGGAACAATTCTCATACGATAATAATAATAAGTAAAACAAAAGCAAGCACCTTCGTTACATAGCATATTCAAAAAAACCAATAATTTAGAAAGGAAGAATCCACCTTGAAGTCGACGGTTTGCCGAGCCAACTCGAGGTATGCAACGAGCGCCTTTGCATCTTGACAGTTGTCTGAATGAATGAGAACGACCTCATGCCACTCTAAAGTGGCGATGAGGTCGGCCCAAACGCGAGCCTCGAGGGAAAATGGCGGTACTGTGCGAAGAAAGCTGGCATGGGCGTACTTGTCACTGAAGACGGCTTGTCGAGTACTCACCCCAATCACCGGCACACCATAAAGCGCCGCTACGTAGGATATAGATAGAGGCGAAGTGCTGGGAAATCTGGGAGGGCTGGAAACTACCACAGCAAAAAGTCGGCCCTTTCCTGCCACAAACATGGAGCACAACTGTTTCGAGGCTTTAAGGGCGTTTGATGCCAGAAGCTGAAATCACAACACTGAACTACTTAGTTATGCAGATTTGGTGGATGTTTGTTAAGTACAATAAACGTGCACTAAGAACAAATGCATTCGGCAAAAAACAAGAAAGCCAATAGAAAAAACCTGCAGTTCGAGACATGGAGGCCAACCTACTAATAAACCGTCCCTCATAATCTCGATTTCGGGTAAAACAACCAGAAGGCTAACCTCGGTAAGCGGGGTGAACGATACCTTCCTGCCGTTAACATGAGCACGAACATCACCAATGGAGGAATTGAAATGCTTCATAGCCGTGACACTACTGAGAAGTGCACCAATAGTGAAATTCATGTCATTGCTTTCATCACTAATAGTAATAGATATTATGGTGGCAGCAAGCACGAAAACCAGTCGAACCAGAGACATCCCATGATAAAATGGCGCCTGTGATCTACCAATCAATTTCAAAGTTTGATACACACAAAAATTTGCATCAACAACTAGGGCTACGTAAGAAATTAACTTGTATTTAACGAAAATTTTCGCTCCATTTATTGATGTACGACGTTGAGCGCACTTGAATGACTTTATGACACCTCTAATGCTCCCACTTAGGGACTTGATTATTTCGAATTCGCTTTGAAGAGCTTGACGTTTAAAAAATATGTTCTAAAGATAATAACGTCATGTCTTGATTTTTATAGATAAATTTGTTAGTCACGTTACATTTTGACAGCTTCTAGGCTTTATTCTATGAAATCCTACGCAAAGTTCCTTCTCTCGTATTATTTTAATCACAACTCACTACTCAATCTTCTAAAGCATTAGGGCTACCCACAAACTTTTGCGGATCGCATCTGCTCCCATTTTGGCTTCCTACTTGTAATACATTGTTCGTGTGACGGCCTGACATTTGGCAGTCGCTTTAGGATTTGTTTGGTCCTTGTATTCGTGGGCGGGTCTGTGAGCCATGCTCAGGCCTAGTTGCTTTGTCCTCTTTGAACTACATGTATCCAGCTCCAAATACTACCTTCTTCCACCCGATGGGAAAACTCGGGATGCTACACCACTTTCCCTTACATATACCCTAATTTCCTCCCCTCTACTAAGCCCATATTAGAGGCCTCAAAGCAATCATTTTCTTGATATTAAACTTAACCACAAGAAATGGAAGAAAGCGAGAA